GAAAGAGTCCGTTCAAATAACATCTGTCCAAGAAGGAGATCAGTGTCTTCCTGAAGCAGCTGCAAGAAGAGGGTGGACAAGGGAGGGCCTATCCCTCTCCCAACCCTCCTCTTGCAGCCACTGCTAAATCATGGAGAAGACAGGCCTGGAACTACTTCTCACGGCTTTGACTTGACAGTACTGGATTAAAAGGTGCAGATGTGCTCTAATAAGCTCACATCTGTAATGTATTTATGTGCCTGTGTTGAGATATGCATTTCATACAGCTACTCTGTCAAGATTATGCCAAAACAATGTGTGAAGAGCCAAGGGATGTCTTCTAACAGAGTAAGTGAAATGAATGCTTCACTGAATCATGTTTCTCATCCCTATACCAACGGCCCAAGATCATCTCAGATTTTATGGCAATTGCTGTGGCCTCTGAAGTTCAAGGCAAAATACAGATTCAGCTGAAAAAAGGGGGAATGGAGATACAAAGGGAGAGAAGCCACAGCCAGCAGAGAAATTCAATTAGTGTCAGAAACTCTCAGGTTACTGAGATGCAGTTAATAGAGAGGATTAAGCAAAGTCAGTGGGTACATAATAAAAGCTGCTTTCATAATCACCTAATCCCTCAAGAGATGAAAATTAGGAGACTAAAGTAATACATTGACATTGCTCTCATTTTATTTTTGGTCCCATTACTTCTCTGGCTGTATCCATTATATTTAGTGAATAATCAGCATATAAAATAGTTAAAATCTATAGGAAAGCTGGAGGCCAGACTGGAGAGTCCTGGCTTCTTTCCACTTTGAAAGGATTCAGGGCTCCTGCCTCCCACGCACACAACCGCCTTGTAGAAGACAGTACAACCACCTCCTCCAAGTGGCTGTCTCACACTGGAGCTGTCATCTCGTGTCACACACACTGAGACAAAACCCTCTGCAAAACCACGGGATGAGGAACTCCTTGTGAGCATCGATTTCATCCAAACCCTACCCAGCTGCCAGGGGCTCGGGCTGGCATCCTGAGCCGTTTCTTCACAGGGAAGCAGCTAATGCGCAATTCCTGTTTTGAGAAGATGTTTTTTTCCTTTTTTTTTCTTTTTTTTTCTTTTTTTTTCCTTTTTTTTTTTTTTTTGCAACCAGTGTTCTAGTGTTTCCAGCCAGCAGCAAAGAAGATACAAATTAAAAAAAAAAGCAGCAGGATGGGAGTTTGGGTTATAATCCCTGTTGGCTGGAGACTGTAACTCAAAAACCAGCTGACTCTCTCCAGTACATTAATTTGTCACTTTTCTTTTCAAAACATTGCCATCCCAAACTGGGAAAACTCTCAGGTCAGCTTGAGGCTTTCCATATGTCATCAAATAGAAGGATGCATTACCATAAACCAACCCTTAAACCTGCTTTTTGGATCAAACAAGGTTGATTGGCTCGCCGTCTCTGGCCATTCGCTTCTGCCTGACAGTTCCTCTTGTCCTATAACTTCAGAGCCAATTTCATCCAAATTGGGCAAAGCAGTGGGAGCGACTGCAGAAGTCACATTGCTACTGCCCAGTGAAGCTGTCGGCTGGGTAGACCAAACAGAAGCCTCTCCCAAGGGTAAGGTGGGCAGAGCTCAGCCTTTTCCCAGATGAGATCTCGTTGCAGATCACCTCTGAGCATTGGGAACCCGGTACTGACATTGCAAAGCGTATGGGCAGCTCCCCTCTGCCAGGAGGGATCATTCCTTTTTCACTAGTGCATGAACTACCCCCGAGTAATCCCCCATCTCCTTTTGCCCCTGGTGACAAGGAAGCCGTGCCCACGACCAGGGGAGGAGGTGGAGGAGAGATGCCGTTTGGTGATGCTCTCCCCTCGCTGACACCTTTGGGAAACAGGTAACTAAAGGCAAGACTCACTCACCTCGTCACCCACTCCCTGTGCGCTTACAAGCCAAATCGGCTGTGCCAGGGGCAAGGGGTACACGGTGAAAGCCATCAGCCAGGAAGGGTGTGCTCCTGCACGCACCGAGAGCTCCTGCGTACCCAGCCAAGAGCTGAATGCATCCCTCTGTTTGCAGCAGGTGATGGTACAAGATCCGTGCAGCTACGTGTACTTAGGGGAGGATCGCGGCTTGGCACGCTAAGCAAAACTTTTGGAAGACGCTTTTATTTTCCCAACAATTTCTGGGAAACAGTTCCCCACACTGACCCATGAGATAGGGCCAAGCCTGTGGTTATATCAGGATGCTCTTCCAAACCGGCAGTGCAGAGAACAGGGTAAATGGGGAAAGAAAAACGCATGGGGACATGAGGGGTAAGAACACTGAAATCACATACCTTCAGGGATGCACTGTCCAAGGACAAACTTATAACCCTTACAGCATTTTTTCCTGAAAAACAATAAAATAAATAAATGAATAAATAAATATAGTCACTAAAGGTTGGTGCTGCCTTTAAAAACACTCATGGGTAGATCCCAGATATGATGAACCAACCAAGGCGAGGACCTTGAGCTTTGCAGTTGGAGGTATCTTAGCATTAAAGAACGCAACATGGAAACCCACCACTCAGTCCTTGAGGCATTTTAAATGACAGCATGGCCAGCTGCCTGGGGACCCTGGGGCTGGGTACCCCAGTGTTGACCCACTCAACATCCCAAGTAATTTCTGAAAACCCTGCTCCCTTGGGTTGAAAGGATGCAGCGCACCTCGGTGCTGTCCATATACACAACTCAGGTCATAATTTTCATGATATGGTGAAGGGTGTTTTCAAACATCTGTCATTACAATGTAAACTCGCAGAAAGGGGTAAGTCTCAGCGAGGAGTACACACAAGATAAATGTTATCAGTAATTTTTCATCTTTTAATAAACCTGGAAGGTGATAAGTGAAATATATTGGCTATTTCAACCACAGCAAGGGAGAGTATCTTATACAGGCAGGGGCACAAAGCTGCAGTGAAGAGTCAATGGGATCGGACACTTTTTATGTGGCAGCAAACCACAGCAAGTCCCCAGGACTCCCGGCTGCACTGAGGAGCCTTTACAAATGGCTGTGTCCTGTATCACCCTCGCTGCAGGGACCTGGTGGGTGACCTTTGAAGCATCCCAGGGTGGTGGCTACCAGGACTGCCGCAAGAGAAACAAACTGCTGTTCAGTGCACTATTTTATCAAGTCTACATGAGTCTGAGGGGAAATAAAACCCTGTATTTTGCAAACTCACAGTTTTTCATGCCTTGTGGATATGCTGAAATATCTGCAAAACTGGGAAACCATCCATTTGGTCTTATCCTTTAGTTCAACAACTGACGCAGAAGAGTGCTAAAGCCATGGCAGTCAATGACACAACACTCCCCCTAGACAACACGCAGCCATCACAAATCATCATTATGTTGAATTTAAATCAACTATCAGTTGCAACTGACCACTTAAAACAAACAATGCATTACTCCAAACTATGAAAAAACAAACTTTGGCTCCATATTTTACCCTCTTCCAAAGATTAACTGGAATATAAATTATGCTTAATGAAGGCTGAACATCTTAAGAGGAAGCCTTGCTTTGTTATGCAAACAGTGGTCCCTCATTAGACTTTTCTCCAAACACTGCTCTGAAGTTTTATCTGCAAGACAAACAAATGCAGGAGGAATGAGTTCAAAGGTGGATCGGGGAGGCTGTTCATATGCTGCAAGCCCTGCTGATGGCTTTCCAAGTGCACATTCATCTCCTCCTGTCTGTGGAAGAAGGGAGGCTGATAAAGGCTTGCTTGTAGCTGCTCTTCAGAGGAAGACACAGCCTGGCTTGCGAGAGGGCTTGAGAGAGGGGAGGGGAGATGGAGAGGAGAGGAGAGGAGAGGAGAGGAGAGGAGAGGAGACACATGGGATTTGCCTTGTATTGGGGGGGGGGGGGGGGGGGGGAGGGGAGGAGGGGAGGGGAGAGGAGAGGAGAGGAGGAGGAGAGGAAGGCCCCCCTGCCATGAGATGCTGACCTGCAGGGCTGTGCCAGCCAGAACTAACCAGAAAGAGGGAGCAGCAGCTTTCATCATTTCGACCTTTCTCCCTGGGAATTCCCACCTGATTTTCAGGCTTAGGACCCTTAGGGCTCCCACCCTTGCAGTGGCTTGTGGCAGCGGATGCAAACCTCAGCCGGCACAGCCGGCTTCTGGCTAAGGGCTTGCCTGCTGGCAACCTTGCAGGAGTTGCCTCTCTCCTCTCGACTTGGCTGGCAATAGCTTTTGGCTGGACTTGTTGGCTTTCTTGAGGCTAACCCGTGGTTTTATCCGCCTTCCTGCATTCTGCTGATAGCCAAACCGTCTGCCCTGATCAAACGGATCTCCCAGAGCCACACACTGGGAACCCACCACACGCTGAGTTACAGCCATTAAATACTGCCCTGGCACCCTGAAGCAAGCAGAGCCTTGCGTAGCCTCGCCGGGGGTTGCTCCAGTTAAAGCACCTGGAAAATCGTGCTGCCCTGGCAGATATCCAAGCCCCTGCTGAAATCCATAGCTTCAAAGGCATCTTGCAGCAATGAGTTCCACCGGGGGATGCAATGTTTTTGAGAAATTATTTCCTTGTTTTCAGCCTCCCTTTTAACCTTTGTTGATTTTTCCCATCATGAAAGATCTAAAACACACCTAAAGAAGTGGTTTAGAGGACGGATGCCTGGCTTTCAGGATCACACTCCAGAAACCAATTGGCCTTGGCAATCATTTCCCAATTCAGGATTACAGATCTCGGTATTAGAGTAGCCCATAGTCAACAGTGAGCTTCAGCCATCAGCATGATTTTGCCAGGGAAACTGCTACTTTAGGGTTAACGCACAGGAAATACAAGACGAAAATGCCCATTTCTCTGAGCATTACATTGCAACCCTGGGATTCCTGCATGCTTTAGCCTTTTACATTCCTAAAGAGAAATCTGTCAAAATGATGGACACATGAGTTGATCATTAGCAAAGGCATTTTAATAGCAATACTCATTTTCAGCCATCCAGCTCCAGGTTGACATGTCTAATCAACGTTGCACAGCAGCGATCTCGTTATATATAATGAGAGATAAGAGGGGGTCCCCGCTGATAATTTTAGCTACTGAATAACTTCCAGCAAGGCGGTTGCTACGCGGCTGTACCTGTGAGCGTGCATCAAACACAAACTAATACACAGCTGTGTAAGACGCTCAACCACTAAAATCTGGATCGACAGGGAAATGAAGTTGATTCGTTAACTTTAAATCTGGTTCCCAAAAGGAGAAACTTCTGGCAGACATACTTCTTGCAGCTTTTAAAGGGGTGCTTCAGCTATTAAAAACATAGCAACTGCTGATTCTCATGCGATTGTCACTCAGGAACGTGCACAAGCCCACATTCGCAGAGGGTTTTGGGCACCATGATTTTGATCACTGCAATGTCTAGATTTTGAGTTAGCTGTAAGAAAATCCACAGTGATAGGGACTCTCTCAAAGCAAAGTCAGCCTTTTTGTCTGACAGGTAGCTGCAGGAGAACCAGGGAGATGTTGAGCTACTCCCCTCTGCTCTGGAGGTTGAGGTGCTCCTGGACCACTGAACATCAGAAGATGGGATTTAGGGTCAAAACTTTGATACCAATAAACACCTCCGTGACTGGGCAAGCAGCAGATCTGCCTTTGTTGCTGACTTTTGTGTCCCATCACCTTGCAGACTGAGAGGGGAGCTGAGCTTTCCAGGAGCACTCCCACGTCCCATCGCCCACAGGTCCCCCCTTCTCCTGACCCACAGCGGTGCATCGGCACAGCAACCCCCACCCCACCTTGCAAAGCAGTAGCTCCTTGATAGCATCGCCTCGGACAGGCAGGACGAAAGGCAAGATGCAAGGAATGTGGCTTAATTAAGCCACCACTTTATTAAGTTAGCTTATCTGGCAGCTATCAGCAGTAACTCATCCAGTGCGGAGCACATTTTTTTCCCATAATTGTTTCCACCTGGAGCAGGGCTGCCGTTGCCCCCAGCCCACCTCATGCTCTGCCCCGGGACACTGCCGCAG